ACACACACACACACACACACACACACACACACACACACACACACACACACACACACACACACACACACACACACACACACACACACACACACACACACACACACACACAGAACACACACACACACACACAAACACACACACAAACACACACACACTAGTGATGCAACGACTGGTGTCCTGGTTGGATGGTGGTGTTGGTGAATCCGTGTATCATTCGTTCATTTGTTTTTCAATATAAAACCAAAAATAAGAAAACGAAAAAAACAACAGTTTTCTTCGTTATTTGTCTCTAAAACCAAAATGAAAAAACGTTTTTTCAGTTTTCGATTTTGTGTTTAAATGAAGAGTGGAAAAAACGGATAACGGCCGTTTCCTGTTTACGTGACTTCAGTGACTGCGATGCCAAACTTTTGCACCAGGTACGGACTGAACTAGGACTGATCCAGGTCCGAGACCAGACCGGGACTAGAGCGGGACCAGAGCGGGACCAGAGCGGGACCAGACCGGGACCAAACCAGGATCAGACCAGGACCAGAGCGGGACTGGGGCGGACTCCAAGCTTTGACTCCGAGCCTTCGTGGGGTCCAAGCCTCAGCTTCGAGCTCCGGCCCTGCCATGGGCTCTGAGCCTCCGATCTGGTCTCGGTCTTGTCTCGGTCTTGTCTCTGTCTCAGGCCCGCTCTGGTCCCGGTCTGGTCCCAGTCTCAGTAGCGCTCTGGTCCCGGTCTGGTCCCGGACCTGGTCCATTTGAACCAAAAGCTCTTAGTTGGGTTTGTTTTCGTTGGTGTGAAAGCGTCAGTTTGATGCTTTGCACCACCTCAGAACCAGACTGGAGCAGCCCGTCCGGACCTGGAGTCCACAGAACATTCTCACTTTCCCCGCATGGAACCAGCGCGGAGACGATGACACGGAACCGCTCGGACCGCTGGTCTCGGTCTCAGTCCCACTCTGGTCCCGCTCTGGTCCCGGTCTGGTCCCGGACCTGGATCAGTCCTAGTCCAGTCCGTACGCGGTGCAAAAGTTCGGCATCGCAGTCATGGAAATCATGTAAACGGGAATCCATTCTTCATTTAAACACAAAATCAAAAACTGAAAAAAACTAATCATTATCCGTTTTTTCATTTTGGTTTTGGAGACAAATAATGAAGAAAACTGTTGTTTTTTCGTTTTCTTATTTTTGGTTTTATATTGAAAAACGAATGAACGAACGACACATGGATTTTGGTGGATCCACTCGTGTAGACGCAGAAACAGAAAACAGCTCCACAGAGACTCACAGCTGAAATATTCTAACAGACCAGACTCGTACTCACCGTCTTTAACGTGTCGCGCCTTCTTGATCCAGTCGGTCAAGTGTCTCACAAAGTCAAAGAAGAAGTCTCCGTCTGGAACACTGATCACCTGCAGCACACGGTTCAGGGTTTAACTCTAACTTGCTCTGAATATTTGAAATTACGGTAGCGCTTTAGATTAGGAACCACATCCTAATCATGCTGAGAAGACGCTTGAGTTTTTTCAGCGAAAACGTGCCAAATATCACCAACTGTCAAGTCAAAAAGCCCAGCCCCTCTGCTCCAAGTCTCACCTTTACCCTCCCATTTTTTATTAGTTGATTAGGCTATTTTTAGTCTGTCCAGTAGATGGCAGCAGAGAAAACAGGTAAACATTTGAGTCTCAATCATTTAACTAAGCCCAGGTGCACAAACCAAACCAAAGAGTGTGTGTAACGTGTGTAGTGTGTAGAGTGTAGAAGTGTGACAGGGTCTGTGTGTGGAGCTGTGGACCTTGTCTGTGATCTTGACGAAGAGGCTGAATCCCTCGGAGGACTGCAGCAGGAGGCGGGTGGAGATGTTGTGGCAGAAGTCTTTGGCCTTGGTGCTGGACTCCACCTCAAACACCTGCAGCACAAACAAACAACGTCAACACAACCGCACCTCAAACACCTGCAGCACAAACAAACAACGTCAACACAACCGCACCTCAAACACCTGCAGCACAAACAAACAACGTCAACACAACCGCACCTCAAACACCTGCAGCACAAAAAATGTCAACACTTCGCAATTATCATCAGAACCACTGCGGGAAAAGTTTGGACGGTGTTTGTGTCCATGGAGGAACGACAAACCCAGACGACAGAAAAGCCGGGAGCAGCTGAAGTGTGTGTTTAAATCCGTTGGCGTCTCTGTCCAATCAGAACCTCCCCCCCGATGCTCACACACATTAAATAAAAAACATTTCACCAGTTTTACACGAAAACAACAATTCAACATTATTATTTACATGGAAACTACAAGAGAAAAATATCATATAAACGTGGCCAAGGTCAACTCCAGGACTGAAAAAAATGATCCAAATGATTCTAGTGAAGGTGTGTGGAGTTTAAAAACACAGTGGAGCACTTCCTGTATCACCACATGATGACATCACAAGGTGGAAGTGAGTGTTTTCAGTTTGAGAGAAGAACACAGCGTAAATGTGCAGGGTCTGTGTGTTAAACATGTGCAAAAGAAACAAAACACAACTCCAGGTCCGTGCGCGACGAGGAAAAGCGATACGGAGCGTTTAAGTGCGCGGAGTCGGAGCAGGAGTTACCTCGTCGGAGTCGTCGGGGAAGTAGACCTTGTGGAAGATCTGGGTGGTCTTGTGCTGGATGGCCTCCACCTCCACCAGGTGAGGGGGGTACTTCCTACAGCCATTTCTGCACAAAAGTCAGAGGAAGAGGAAGAGGAGAGGTCAGTGTTCCCTCCTCAGAAACATGCCTGAAGAGGTTTTAGATGTCATCCATGCATGTCTGAGTAATCTAGTGATCTGTCTGATGGGGGACTTAGTGCAAACTTAAAAAAATTTATATAATATATATATATATATATATATATATATATATATATATATATATATATATATATATATATATATATATTTGTATTATTATTATCATTATCATCATCATTATTATTATTATTATTATTATTATTATTTACTTATTTGTTTATTTTATTTATTTATTTTTATTTATTTTATTATTATTTTTTTTTTGTATGCGTGTTTAGTTAAGTCTGTCTTATTGTGGATGTGCTGGGTATCCAATCCCTTAAATTTGACAAATAATTAAAAAATATATATACTGTAATTTCCAGACTATTGAGTGCACCTGAAGTCACATCAACCAAAAATAAAAAATAAAAAAATTGTACATATATAGGTCGCACTTGTCTATAAGTCGCAGGTGTCCACGTCTTCAAGAACGTTTTCAAGTTCAGGTCGTTTGCTTTTATCGCCTCTGAAAGTTTTTGTCGTCTTTTTGCGTTGAGTCAGTTCGTCGCTGCTGCCGCCAAAATCTCACCATCGACTCCCTGACGTCGAGCTCACGAGCAGCAGCTCTGTTTTCCTCCTTCCACAGTGTGTAGTGTGTACAGTGTGTGTGTTGTGTGTATAGTGAGTGTGTTGTGTGTTGTGTGTATAGTGAGTGTGTTGTGTGTTGTGTGTACAGTGAGTGTGTTGTGTGTACAGTGAGTGTGTAGTGTGTTGTGTGTACAGTGAGTGTGTTGTGTGTACAGTGAGTGTGTTGTGTGTACAGTGAGTGTGTTGTGTGTACAGTGACTGTGCTGGTGTTGTGTATTTGTGTGTGGTGTGTGTATTTGTGTGTGGTGTGTGTATTTGTACCGCAGAGCCTTCTGGAGCCGCTGCATGCAGTCGGGGGCCAGGGGGCAGTGCTTCTTGGCCTGGAGGAACCTCTGGACATGGGGGAGGAGGGTGGTGCTGGGAGGGAACAGCCCGGTGCAGAGCCACAGCAGCTCCCAGCCCTTCTCCTCACTGAACCTGCACACAGCGACAGGATCGTCACCTGTCCGTCACCGGCATCATCGTCATCATCATCGACCTTTTTCACAACAACTAAGGCAGGAGTCTCCAACCTGTAGCTCGCCAACTTTTCCCAAGTAGCTCGCCAACTTTTTATAAGTAGCTCGCCAAAGAATTTCGAAATTATACCATAGTGTTGATGAATAATATATATTTTTTGTGTGCAATTAAAGCAGATGTCACAGAGAAAAACAGTTAGTAGTAATATACTGTGACAATTTTTTAAAATTCCTTAAACCCCCCCGTTCCCATTACCCTCCTCCACTATATCAATAAAATACAAAATAATAAAAATAAGAATAAAAACTTCTTATTTGTCTGTGTCTTTAAGTGTCCAAAAAAGCACTATATAAGTCTGATGTATTATTATTAAGTAAATTGAATAATTAGTTAATTACATGTATATCACTATTATTGTAAATGCATAATTCTAACTTTTTGCACGAACTTGCATCTAACTTTACCCAAAAGCTCACTGTAATATACAGTCTAAATTGTAAAAATAAGTAAATAAATAATAATAATAATAAAAGACTTAATAATAAAAATAAGAATAAATAAATAAATAAATATAGGGAAAAGAGGGAAATACTTTTTACTTTACTTTTTTTTTTTAATGTTTGTTAATTACATGTATATTACTATTGTAAATTTATAATTCTGAAGTCCAACTTTTTGCACTAACTTGCATCTAACTATGACATCAGATATATCAGTGGGGCCAACAATATTATCGGCCGATATGTGCACTTGGAGACATGGGCCAATAGTCATGGGCAAGTTATACCTTGTTATAAAACTTAGAATCTCTATATTCTGTCCATTTAATCCAATTTACAGACACATAAATGTCCCAGGGTCCCAAAAACACAACAAAAATAAAACATTACATATCAAATCTTCATCTGTTTCTAAACATTCTGTGAAAATTTAAACTTATTTCAACAAGAACTGACAAAATTATTGGCCTGTATGTATGTGTGTGTATATATATATATATATATATATATATACTCTTTATTGTGTGATAAAGAGTGATCGTGTGTGTTACTGTGTGTTGTGGTTGTTGTGTGTTACTTGTTGTGTGTTTGTGTGTGTGTGTTGTGTTGTGTTACTTGTTGTGGTTGTTGTGCGTCAGTGTGTGTGTGTTGTGTTGTGTTACTGTGTGTGTGTTGTGTTACTTGTGTGTTGTTGTGCGTCAGTTGTGCTGTGTGTGTGTGTGTTGTGTTGTGTTAGTCGTGTGTGTGTTGTGTTGTGGTTGTTGTGCGTCAGTGTGTGTTGTGTTGTGTTACTTGTTGTGGTTGTTGTGCGTCAGTGTGTGTTGTGTTGTGTTACTTGTTGTGGTTGTTGTGCGTCAGTGTGTGTTGTGTTGTGTTACTTGTTGTGGTTGTTGTGCGTCAGTGTGTGTTGTGTTACTTGTTGTGGTTGTTGTGCGTCAGTGTGTGTTGTGTTGTGTTACTTGTTGTGGTTGTTGTGCGTCAGTGTGTGTTGTGTTGTGTTACTTGTTGTGGTTGTTGTGCGTCAGTGTGTGTTGTGTTACTTGTTGTGGTTGTTGTGCGTCTGTGTGTTGTGGTTGTTGTGCGTCAGTGCTTGTTGTTGGTTGTTGTGCGTCGTTGTGTTGACGTTCACGCGTGTTGTCAGACGCGCGTTTGATGACTGTTGGAGGAGTTAAAGAACACTCCAGGGTCAGGTGTGTGTGTTGTGTGTCTATATCAGAGGTGTTCACACTTTTTCATCATGTGAGCTTCTTACAAAATGACCAAGTCAAAATGATCGACCTGATACAAAGTCAAACAAACTGCACTGAAACACTCTGTGGCCCTTTTTTGGACCCTCCCCCACAGTTTGAGAACCTCTTCTTTAAGAGAACTTCCTCTGGCACTTTACACAAAACTGTGAAAAAAGTGACGGAAGATTTTTACCTCCTCCAAGGAGGTTATGTTTTTGCCGGCATTTTTTTTGTTTGTTTGTTTGTTAGCAACATAACTCAAAGGGTTATGGACCGATTTTGATGAAATTTTCAGGATTTGTTGGAAATGTGAAAAGGAAGAACTGATTTCATTTTGGGGCTGATCCGGAAGAAATCCTGGATTCTGGATCACTTTGAAATTTTAGTTAACATTGTGGTAAATGGGGCCAAAATAGTTTTTTCTCAATATCTCGGTTAATTATTGACTAAACCCCATGAAATTTGACTCAGGGATGGACAATGGGATCCTCTTTCATGTTCCAAAGGCTGATCCGGATCTGATCCACAACACTGATTTTATCACTATTTATATAAAAAATGGGGGTAGTCCTTGGCGGAGGTCTGCGCTCTCTGACTGCTTTTCTAGTTAAACTTGTTTTTTAAAGTTCCAAACTGGAGTTTCATTCTTTTGTGGTTTTGCAGTGATATTTACCAGCCTCTGCACGTTTACCAAACCAAACGCACATCGTGACAAACACAGATGCATTTGTCACTTTTGTTAGACAAACTTCAGCCAAATGTGGCAGTAGGTCTGTTCTGTAGATCCGCTCTATGCTGTAGACCTGCTTTGTGCCAACACTGGAACACAAATTTAGACTGGTTTTTGCTTCACGTTTGGTCTTGCTCTTCTAATCAGCCGCACTGTGGGAGGGGCTTGTGTTGGCTGTGCGCAGGAAGGAGCGAGAGCGTGAAAAGGCGAGGGGCGGCGTGCTGACGTGAGGCAGATGGACAGGTAGGATGTTTAGGAAGTTGAACCTGCCCTGTGATGCACGCTGGTACACGAGGGCACACGCTGTCGCAGACGAGCCGTGCATAGGGAGCGTGCGTGTTTGTGATGCACCGTAGAGTCTCCGCGGGTTTCAAATGAGCGCACAGGCTGCACTGAGACGCCCCACACGCTCCTGCACCCGCTACAAGTTTATTACCAACAGCAGCGGCCGTAATGAAATATGATCACACTTGTTGAGTGTCAGACCTCGAGTGAGAGACAAGACCGAGTCCAAACACGAGTCCGAGACAAGACACGACGATCTACCCACACGACCTTGGACATCGACTGGCAGATCGCGATTGATGTATTGAGCACCACTGAACTAAAGGATATAGAGGAAGGCCTGACACGCCTCCTGGCAGAGCTCCTCGTGGTTCAGGACCTTCTTGAGGAGCGGCTGGTGGAGCGGCTCACGGCTGCAGCTCCACAGACGCTCTTTGGTCCGAGACTTGGACATGATCCGGCTCAGCGTGTTCTTCGGGGGAGGCCTGAAACACACACACGACACACGACACACGACACTGAGTCACAACAAACACAACCCAAATAAGAAGAAACTTTTCTGGTGGAGGCTCCTTCTAACGCTTTTCTCCATGGATTTGTTATTGTTTTAACTGGAATGTTCCACAATACGGCTTTAAACCTTTTTATCTTCACAGAAACCAGACCAGACGCAGTTCCAGGTCAGATCTGTGGAGAGGCGACCCTGCTCACAGTCACAATGTCTGTTTTTATGGGATTTTTGAGGGATTTTTAATTTTGAATAAATGTAAAGTCGAGCTGTTTCATGTCACACCAGGTCTAAACCAGGTCTAAACCAGGACTAAACCAGGTCTAAACCAGGATTAAACCAGGTCTAAACCAGGTCGAAACCAGGACTAAACCAGGACTAAACCAGGACTAAACCAGGACTAAACCAGGTCTAAACCAGGTCTAACCAGGAATAAACCAGGACTAAACCAGGTCTAAACTAGGACTAAACCAGGACTAAACCAGGACTAAACCAGGTCTAAACCAGGTCTAACCAGGAATAAACCAGGACTAAACCAGGTCTAAACCAGGACTAAACCAGGTCTAAACCAGGTCGAAACCAGGACTACACCAGGTCTAAACACCTCCCCCCCAACCACTGAGCGCTCAGAGGAGATCCCTGTATGATGCAAAGTGTGGAGAGTGCGCTGAGCGGTCAGTTGAGATCCCTGTATGATGCAGAGTGTGGAGAGTGTGCTGAGCGCTCAGTTGAGATCCCTGTATGATGCAGAGTGTGGAGAGTGTGCTGGGCGCTCAGTTGAGATCCCTGTATGATGCAGAGTGTGGAGAGTGTGCTGAGCAGTCAGTTGAGATCCCTGTATGATGCAGAGTGTGGAGAGTGTGTGCAGAGTGTGCTGGAGAGTGCTGCTGAGTCAGTTGAGATCCCTGTATGATGCAGAGTGTGGAGAGTGTGCTGAGCGGTCAGTTGAGATCCCTGTATGATGCAGAGTGTGGAGAGTGTGCTGAGCGCTCAGTTGAGATCCCTGTATGATGCAGAGTGTGGAGAGTGTGCTGAGCGCTCAGATGAGATCCCTGTATGATGCAGAGTGTGGAGAGTGTGCTGAGCGGTCAGTTGAGATCCCTGTATGATGAGATCCCTGTATGATGCAGAGTGTGGAGAGTGTGCTGAGCGCTCAGAGGAGATCCCTGTATGATGCAGAGTGTGGACTGAGCACCTGAAGTAGTCGTAGGAAAACTCCTCCAGGGTGTAAACTTTGGCTCTGTCCTGGAGCTGGGACGTGTCCAGCTGGGACAGAGTGATGGACTCTCTCCTCTGGTCTGGACTCATGGACACCAGCGCCTGGAGACAAACCCAACGTGAGGCCACAGAAGATCCACCACGACAAAACACACACACATCTGTCTGTGTTCCACCTCGTGATGTCATGTAGTGGTCGTTTTCAACAGCTGCTTTTTACCTTTACGGAGTTTAAAGGTTCAGCTGGACGTTACACAAAAGTGACTCTTGTGACCTTTTCAAAAACTGGAGCTGTGTTTGTTTCGTTCTCACGTGTTTGAGTAAAACTTTTGTATTATTCCGTCTACATCACAGGTGTCAAACATCCGGCCCATGGGCTGGATCTGGCCCTCCAAGACCTTTAATCTGGCCCTCGGCTGATTTTCTACTCAAATATTTTAATGATATTTTCTATTAAAATGTTGTTAATTTTGTGTGGTGTTTATCACAGCAGCGTCTCCAGCGTCTCTGTACGTGGCCCCTCCCACCAGAGCAGCACAAATGAAGACTTGTCTCTTTCCAAACGCTCTTAAAGGACGATGGTTTTGACTGTTGACCGTGACACCCTCATCAGAAAAATGTCCAACATGAGAAAAGTGGAGCCGAGTGCAGGATTTTACAACAAAAATGGACTTATTCTGTTTACAGACAAGTTCATGTTCAAACTTTGTGTTGAAATTGTATTTTTCTTAAAGTTTCAGGTTGTTCATAATATTATAATATTTTGTAAAAGAAAGAGTTCATCAATTCAAAAAGATTTCTGGGTAACACTTTATAATAACTACACTTTATTTAGCCTTAATAAAGCATGAACAAAGACTTAATTAATAATGAACAAAGGCTTAATTAATAATGATTCATGCTTAGTAACTACTTAATTACTACCTGAATTCACACTTGCACTTAATTTGCCTGTGCTGTAAATAGTTACTCATAATTATTTCATACTTAATTACTCATGAACTAACCATTTGAGCATTTATTAATCATTAATAAACTATGAGATAATGATTTACTAATAATGTAATGCAATGATCATTCAGGCAGCTGTTATCTGTTGGTTAAGTCTTTTTGAGAGATTTTCTAAAGTGAAAACAAATTATGCTTTATTAAACATTTACTAAGCATGAATCATTATTAATTAAGTCTTTGTTCATGCTTTATTAAGGCTAAGTAAGGTGTAGTTATAAAGTGTTCCCGATTTGTGTAATAGATTTGTGTTTCTCTGCACAAATATTTGAACTTCTTGTTATTTTTGGGGTTTATATGACATGAGTTTTCTGATCCAGCCCCCGGACAAAATGAGTTTGACACCTCTGGTCTACATCATAAAGTGTATATATATGAGAGGCTCCTGTAACCATGGCAACGGGAGCTTCGTCTGGGCTGAACTCTGTGGAGACGACGACTCACTTTTCTACAGAACAGAACAGCAGGTCACATGAGAAACAGAAAAGACTGGAGGACAAAATGCTGAAGTCAATTCTGCAGAATATTAAATGTATTTCTTTATGTTCAGACAGTGTTGGGAGTAACAGATTACATGTACCAGAGTAATCAGAGTACAAATGATGAGTAACTGTATTCAGTTACAGTTACTGTTTCAGTGAGTGGTACTTGGATTACAGTTACTTTGTTGAAATAAATGGATTACACAGAGGGACTAAACCAGGACTTAAAACCAGGTCTTAAACCAGGGAACCAGGACACCAGGACTAAACCAGGACTAAACCAGGACTAAAACTAAACCAGGAACTAAACCAGGACTAAACAGGACTAAAACCAGGACTAAACCAGGACCAGACTAAAACCAGGACTAAACAAACAGGACTACTAAACAGGACTAAACCAGGGACTAAAACCAGGACTAAACCAGGACTAAACCAGACTAAAACAGGACTAAACCAGGACTAAAACTAAACCAGACTAAACCAGACTAAAACCAGGACTAAACCAGACTAAACCAGAACTAAACCAGGACTAAACCAGAACTAAAACCAGGACTAAACCAGGACTAAAACCAGGACTAAAAGGACTAAAACAGGACTAAACCAGGACTAAACAGGACTAAAACAGACTAAACCAGGACTAAAACCAGGTCTAAACCAGGACTCAAACAGTACTAAAACCAGGACTAAACCAGGATTTAACAGGACTAAATGTCCTGGTTTTAGACCTGGTTTTAGTCCTGAATTTGATCCTGGTTTAGACCTGGATTTGTTTTAGTCTGCTAGCCCAAAATTGAAATCCTGTAATCCATTTATTTCAACAAAGTAACTTTAGTCACTGAAACAGTAACTGTACAGTTCCTCATCATTTTACTTGATTACTCTGGTACATGTAATCTGTTACTCCCGACACTGGTGATGTCATATAGTGGTAGATTTAAGTGAACAGCTCCTTGTATCTTTACTTCAGTAGAACTTGGAAACTCCAGGAATCTAGAGAAACTGTGTGGAGTTTAAAAGGTTTGTTTAAACGTGTGAATGAAACAAAACACAGCTCCAGACACGGACGCTTTGAGGAGGGTGTTTTTGGGTCAAATGAAATAAAAATGTGAGCGTCCTGACCACGATGTCGTACGGCGGCCGGGTGACGGTCGGGAGCAGGTAGACGCAGTCCACGGGGAAGTCTCCTCTGAGGCGGCTGCGTTCGTTTTGTCCGTGGGCCCAGCCGGAGGTCAGGGCCTGTTCCCCCTCCTGCTCGTCCAGGATGATCAGGTCGCCCTTCTGGAAGGACAGGAACGCGGCGTCTGCTGCACACAGGGGGCGCTCTTAAAGGTCGTTCACACCAAAGCGTCAAAAAACACCTTGACGTTTCTGTTTGGAGCCTTTGCATTTGAGTTCAGACGCCCCCGACGCTCGTGTCTTTGACGTCGTGGACGAACGGGACAAAAATACTTGACGTGCGTCCGTTGCCCTGGAAACAAGAGCCCGGTCCTGGACTTTTCCCAAAACAATGTCAGACCAGACTGAGAGACTTTAGTGTTTTTATCACATAAAACATCAGCGGAGGAAATCGACTCGACGACTGGAGCCAGTTTATATTTATACTCCACTAATGACACTGGATCAGTCCTGGTCTAGTCCTGGTTTAGTCCTGGTTTAGTCCTGGTCTGGTCCTGGTCTGGTCCTGGTCTGGTCCTGGTGATCGTCTCGGTGTTTGTGGTGTATATATTTATGTTCCGTTCATGTTTGTGGTTCTGGGGTTTTTCTTCCTGATAATAACGTCGCTGTGTCTCTGGATACTCGTCCCTGATTGGTCGACGCGGCGCATCTGATGTGAAAAGTTCAGCATTTTCAACTTCTTGATGCTGACGCCCTGGACGCGCGTCTAGAGCATCAACGGCAAAATGCTCAAGACTCGCCACGTCAACGCCAGATTCATGCTGCGCTGACGGCGAAGACGCGCCGCAAAAACGCAGGAGGCTCTAGTCGCGCGTCCACATCGACTTTACACAGAAACTGGACGAGTTGACGCTTTGGTGTGAACGAACCTTTACTCCTACTTCTCTCACAGAGACACTGAAACACCTCAACTCGAGCTTTTTCACGGACAACGTTTCAAAACCTTTTTTTTTTTGGGCACGGGCGGGCGGGCGGGCGCGGGCGGGCGGCGGGCGGGCGCGGGCGGGCAGGAGGTACTGATAAACTGCAGTCCCGCAAACTAAATATGAGTGTAAAGTAAAATATAAAAAAGATGAATGAGAGAATATCAAGCATAATTTGTGCTGGAAATTTTATTTGGCATTAATAAAAACATTTTAAGCAGCAGACCGTCCCCCCTCCCATACACGTCCCGTACGCCGCGTGGACAGTCCTTCCTTCCGTACGTCGTGCTGCCTGCGCAACAAAACCAGAACTCAACCAGGACTAAACCAGGTCTAAAAACAGCTCTAAAACCAGGACTAAAACAAAATTTTGCCAGGACTTAACCGTGCCGCCCACCGCCCACCGCGCCTCCTCTCATACGCAGTCCAATTTCTTCCTGTGTTTGATAGAGTTTAAGAAAGCAAAGGTTCCCATCCTGCGGGACTTGTGGGCCGGCGTGAGACAAAATATAGCAGATGCGCGCGGGAGCGGGACTGAAAATTACAATTCTTTGCGGGAGCCGGACTCAAAATTCTATCCCGTGCAAAGCTCTATTTTGTGACAGTGATTTTTTCACTTGGATATGTGCTTCTAAAACCCAAACATATCTGATCTTTGGACGTGAAACTTTAGTCTGAACGTCCAGGTCACATTCGTCCACCTCCACGTGTCACAAATGTTCACAAACGTTCTCCTCGTCAGACGGAAACTCAGAAACTCGACCATCTCAGATTTGACTGGAAAAATTCTAGGAGGTTCACACAATTTCCAATACAGTTTTGTCATTATAAATATTTTGTCGACTTCCCCCTGAGCTGTTTTGAGCAGTTTTCTCCAAGGAGGCACTTTCAGATCGCTTCATCTAAAAAAATATATAAGGTCCTTCAAATTTTCAAGGTTTACATTTTGACAGATGTTCTTGTAGAATCTGGACTTTTACTCATGAGCTTTTGGTTTATCTCAGATTTCTGAGGACTTGAATTTGCTTGAAAATTCTCCTCTTCAAATCTGAGGTTTGATATTGAACATAAACCTTCCCACACATGCAACTGTGGACTTTGTATTTCAAAACTGAGCCTCTGTGATGAACGATCTACAAGATATTAAGTGTTCAAAAAAAAAAAAAAAAAATTTGGTGCTGTCTTTACTTAGCCAGGCTGGCGCCCCCTAGTGCCTCCGCTCAGTTTCATGTCTCTCCAGCTCTAGATCAGGAATCAGAAAACACTCGACGGTTCGCAAAAACCCTGGAAGTGCGAGTTCGGGCACCAGCCAATCAGAGAAGAGACAGACATTCTGTGTTGGCAACGATTCTCGAGATCGAGGATTTAAAGTTGGAACAAAGAGAATGTTTGGTGAATTTGATCTCGGGGAAAGACGTTATTGTTCTTCTTCCTACAGGATTTGGAGCTTTACAAACGTCACGATCAAACAGCAGCGACTGGTTCAATAAAAAAAGTCCCCGTCTCCTGTCGTGCGAACGAATCCTAACGCTGCAGGTCACACGGTTTCCACCAAGTGAAACCGACTGATGAATCTGGCTTTATCAAATAAATGACTGCACCCACCAACAAATGGACTGTTTTAGAAAGACTCGACGTCTGTTTTTAACATGTCCAACATTTGTGATGGTTCTGACTTATGTTTGTAAAATACATTTTTGAAAATGTGGTGTCTGTAAACATGCAGAACATTCATGAACCATGAAGACACTTTCAGAAGCTACGAAAATACACAGAAGCTACGAAAACACACAGCTTCAACTCAACTAAATACTTGATTTAATTACTCAACTATTGTAAATGATCTCAGCTCTTTGAGGAAACCAACAGATGGTTTAGTGTAAAACTCCTGAACTGTACAAAGGTGTTGGGAGCTAAACTTTGGGACTTGTGAACCTCCTTGAATTTTTTGAGTCAAATCTGAGCTGGTCGACTGGGACATTCAGAGATTTAGGGTGGAATGACCCATAAGCTGGACATGTTCTGGCTCTGGTACGACAGAAACTTTAAAATGTTCATGTGTGACACTTTTGGAGTGTTTAAAGTTCACACTGGAGATCAGAAACAAGTCACATTTAACTGGAAATGTGAACGGCCTCGCAAAAAAATCAGATTTCATAAAAAAATCGTAATTGATCATTAAGCCCTGCAGTCTGAACGTAGACTTAGTTTAACACAATCTGACCAGAAACGTCTGATTTAGCTGAAACTCCAACAGGTGATCTGAACATTCCACACAGAGGTACATGTAGAACCCCCCAGCGCGAGTACGACTGTAAGTCTGAAGTGTCGGTGTGTGTGTTTTCCGTCTCACCGGGGTTGGCGCAGTCCGTCAGCGCCACCACGTACTTGGACCTCCTCCTCAGCCCGTCCAGGAAGCAGACGACGAGCTCGCGGATGTCCTCGGCGTTGTTGGAGGTGAACGTGTACTCGTCGCCTTTGATGGTCGCCAGGGTGAAGCTCTGGCCCTGCAGTTTTCCTCCTCTGCACAAGGGGGAGCGCGGGAGTAAACACAGGTCATCACAACAGCGGAGGAGACACATCGACTAAAGGCTCGAGTGTTTCTGTGACTTATTCTCGGTGTGATTCTATATTAAATGTTTTTGGTGAAGTGTGGAGAGATTCTAGTCTTGTGTGTGAGGATCTGCTGCTCCTGTTCCTCCTGCACCAATGTCACTTCACTCTACTGCGCATGTCTCCTGCAGAAAGAGCCTCTGTCCCGTCTGTATCATGTAAACAAACTTATAAAGACAAAGACTGAGAAGACTGAACACAAACGCCCCAAAAACAAAATCAGATTCTGCAGATTTACAAGCTGCCAGTCGTGAAATCTGCAGCTGAAAACGGAAACGGAGCAGCAGAAAGAAAGTTTGGAGTGAGAGAGAAACTTGTGACACCGGGAGGAGGAACCATGAAACTTTCCTGAAGTCAATGGACGGACAAAGTCTGGACTTCAGTGACACCGAAACCATCCTGTCGGGATTCAGAAAGACCCCAAGAATTTGGTAAATATGACCAGGTCTAAACCAGGTCTAACCCGAGGTCTAAACCAGGTCTAATCCAAGGTCCTTCAGTGACACTGAAACCATCCTGTTGGGATTCAGAAAGACCCAATAATTCAGTAAATATAACCAGGTCTAGTCCCCGTCTAAACCAGGTCTAAACCAAGATCTAAACCAGGTCTAAACCAAGTCTAAACCAGGTCTAACCAGAGGTCTAAACCAGGTCTAAACTAGGTCTAACCCAGGTCTAAACTGGAAGCTGTCCTAAACCAAGTCTAGGTCTAACTGAGGTCTAAACCAGGTCTAACCATAATCAGAATCAGGACCTGGATTAAACCAAGTCAAAGCCAGATCTAAACTAGGTCTAACCAAGATCTAATCCAGATCTAAACCAGGTCTAACTCAAGGTCCTTCAGTGACACCAAAACCATCCTGTCGGGATTCAGAAAGGCCCGAATATTTCTGACTGGAACTGATGCTGAGGCCCCGTTCACACTAGTGTGTAGCTGAGTGGTTCGTTCACATTAATGTGATGTTAAACGTCTCCAGAGTCTGAACGATCTGGTGCCTCCAGCTTCACGAGTTCATGTTGGTCCAGATGTGATGGGGACTGTGGGACTCCTGAAAACTCTGATACTCTGATGTAGGAGCTCGAGTCTCGTCCTGATTGGACACGACACTGTGACTCGCTCCTTCTGATTCTCTGGGTTCATGACGTCGATCATGTGACGTTATTGAGGAAAACAGTTTAAACAAACCAGAGACAAACGAAAACAGCGGAGCTACAACTATTTGCTCGTACACGTTCCTTCGTCGGCTCTAAATCGGCTGCTGCAACTTCCTGTCGTCTCACCAGTGCTTCCTGTGTTTGGCTTTAGCGCTGAGGATGGATGTAAAAGTGACAGAGACGATGTCTGAGCCCATTTCTGTTTTACGATGGATTGTTTGGATGTGTGGCTTTTTCCACATGAAACTGTGCAGAGTTTAAATAAATGTATTTAATACAACCACATGAATGAACCACGGTTAGATGAACTAAAGAAGTGCTGCTCAAGGTGTGACTCAGGTGTGCTCAGGTGTGACTCAGGTGTGCTCAGGTGTACTCAGGTGTGCTCAGGTGTGACTCAGGTGTGCTCAGGTGTTGACTCAGGTGTGCTCAGGTGTGCTCAGGTGTGCTCAGGTGTGCTCACTCAGGTGTGACTCAGGTGTGCTCAGGTGTGCTCAGGTGTGCTCAGGTGTGCTCAGGTGTGACTCAGGTGTGACTCAGGTGTGCTCAGGTGTGCTCAGGTGTGCTCAGGTGTGCTCAGGTGTGCTCAGGTGTGCTCAGGTGTGCTCAGGTGTGCTCAGGTGTGCTCAGGTGTGCTCAGGTGTGCTCAGGTGTGCTCAGGTGTGTCAGGTGTGCTCAGGTGTGCTCAGGTGTGCTCAGGTGTGCTCAGGTGTGCTCAGGTGTGCTCAGGTGTCAGGTGTGCTCAGTGTGTCAGTGGCTCAGGTGTGCTCAGGTGTGTGCTCAGGTGTGCTCAGGTGTGCTCAGGTGTAGTCAGGTGTGCTCAGTGTGTGCTCAGGTGTGCTCAGGTGTGCTCAGGTGCGCTCAGGTGCGCTCAGGTGTGCCTCACCTGCTGCTGGACACTGCGGTGATCTCAGGGAAGGAGAGTTCCAGAAGCACCTGCTCCTGCTCGTCCACGAAGTACACGCCGGTCCAGTTCACCGCCACGATCACGTCGTTTTTGGGCAGACTGGGTCCTGCAGAGCACAAAGTGTTTACTTCAAAACATCACCACGGTCTTAAAATTTACTTACAAACAAAGTTTACATACAAATATATCAAATGTTAAATTATGTTGCAAAGAAAAAAGTGAAATAACTGATATAATTTTTCCAACAAAGACACATTTAGCTCAAATATTTGGAAAAAAAATGTAAAACTTTTAACTTTTACAGTGTCGAGATCTGGAGCAGAGGAGACACATTTAAAAACATAAGGAGACAACAAACTAAAGTGATCAGTTTTATCCCAGTTTGAACCGCCTCATGCAGCTGTTGTTGTTGTGCCCTTGAGCCAGACACAGAGTCTGAAGCGAGTTCCTGACCTGAGAACTTGAAGGCCTCGTAGAATCGTGAGAAGAGCAAAGGCCATTTGATCCGAGCGAAGTCGACCACGTCCTCCTTCACCCTCTGAGCGCTGCTCCTGCGCCGACTCTGCACCGCCTGCACACGGACACAAGGGGGCGCACGGACTCAGGTCATCACACTGTGCAGCTCAGGTCATCACACTGTGCAGCTCAGGTCATCAACATCAAGTCATCAAAGCAACTTTAGGCTCTGCTCTGTCTGTCTTTAAACCAGGACTAAACCAGGACTAAAACCAGGACTAAAACCAGGACTAAAACCAGGACTAAACCAGGACTAAAACCAGGACTAAAACCAGGACTAAAACCAGGACTAAAACCAGGACTAAAACCAGGACTAAACCAGGACTAAACCAGGACTAAACCAGAACTCAAACCAAGATTAAACCAGGACTAAACCAGAACTAAAACCAAGATTAAACCAGGACTAAACCAGAACTAAAACCAAGATTAAACCAGGACTAAAATTATGACTATAACCAGGACTAAACCAGAACTAAAACTTGAACTAAACCAAGACTAAACCAGGTCTTAACCAGGACTAAAACCAGGACTAAACCAGGACTAAACCAGAACTAAAACCAAGATTAAACCAGGACTAAACCAGAACTAAAACTTGGACTAAACCGAGTCTAAACCAGGCCCAGTGGGAGAGACTTTAATCTGAGTTTTATTTTAACACAATCTGACCAGAAAGACCTGACTGAACTTCGTGCTTGGCATCACCATGGTAACCGCTGCACATCCTGCCGCGCACACACATGCAGAGTACCTTCTTGTGGGCGGCGGTGACCAGCTGGAGCCAGCGGTCGGGGCTCTTGCTGGAGGACATGTCTCTGTCCGGGATGTAGGACGGGATGAGCGTGAGCAGCCGGTCCTGGAGCAGCTCCGGGCCGTAGTCCACGAAGTACTGCTGCGACGCCAACTCCGCCAGCTCCTCCTCCTGCCACGAGAACGGGCACGGGGCGTCACCGGGACGATCGCCGGGACGATCGCCGGGACGATCGCCGGGACGATCGCCGGGACGATCGCCGGGACGATCGCCGGGACGATCGCCGGGACGATCGCCGGGACGATCAGATCGACCGGGACGATCACCGGAACGAATAAAATGACTCAAACAGGAGTAAAAGTTTGCTGCTAGAACATGACTCTGAAGTACAATTTCCTCAGAGTTATTCAGCTAAAAGTAACTGGAGTACTTTTTCTGTCGGAAAACATACATCCTGAATTTGTGACTTCTGGTCATCGTGCAGTTCACACTGGGAAGGATTTTCCAAAAAAGTGAGCATCAAACCTCCATGTTTGTTTTCCCAGTGGGATGCATCGATCTTTTCAAGTCTTTTGAACCATTTCACTTTTGTTTCTGCTTCTGATATTGTCATATTTTAGTTTTGGGATTCAGACGTCGTAATTGTTGTGGTTGTTGGATCCAAACAGTGGAAAACTATTTTTCAATTCTGTTGGGAAGAGAAACAGTTTGAACGGAGGTTTGAGTCACACACATCTGATTCACTTTTGCATTTATGGACTTCACAAACTTCCAAAGTCCGTTTCTCGAGTCGTTTTCTGCTGTTTGGATCCAACAACCAAACAATGACGACGTCCGAATCCCAAAACTAAAATATGACAATATCAGAACCAGAAACAAAAGTGAAATGGTTCAAAAGACTTGAAAAGATCGACTTTGACAACAGACACGTCCCACTGGGAAAACAAACATGGAGGTTTGATGCTCACTTTTTCAGACGATCCTTCCCAGTGTGAATTGCGCGATGACTGGAAGTCCCAAATTCAGGATGTATGTATTGTACTCCTGTTCCTCTAGACTACAATTTAAAAATAAAAGTGTTAAATTGCTTTAAAATTCGGTCAATCTTTTTCATTTTTTTCTACCCACTGCTACTAATACTAGACCTGCTATTGTTACTGCATCAGGAAAATACACATTTGTGAGGATTTAATTACAGTTGCTCCTCATTCTTTTCTTTCTTCTGACAAAAGTGTTCAGTTTTGTGACATTTTCTGTTTGTTAATTATTTCCAGTAAAGCCTAGTACACAGTACAATGTCTAGAGTCTAGAGGTGGTTTATTTGAAGAGAACTTGTCCAGTAAAATGATCTTGCTGCATGGACACATCATTTTTCTACTTTTAAATCATTTTCTGATAAATTTAAGTGTTTAGATTTTACATTTTGGCCAAACCTTTCCTCTTGTTTGTGTGAGCGTTAGGGTTAGGGTCAGGGTTAGGGTCAGGGTCAGGGTCAGGGTTAGGGTCAGGGTTAGGGTCAGGGTTAGGGTCAGGGTCAGGGTCAGGGTTAGGGTCAGGGTTAGGGTCAGGGTCAGGGTCAGGGTTAGGGTCAGGGTTAGGGTTAGGGTCAGGGTCAGGGTCAGGGTCAGGGTCAGGGTAGGGTCAGGGTTAGGGTTCAGGGTCAGGGTTAGGGTCAGGGTTAGGGTCAGGGTTAGGGTCAGGGTCAGGGTTAGGGTCAGGGTTAGGGTCAGGGTCAGGGTCAGGGTTAGGGTCAGGGTCAGGGTTAGGGTCAGGGTTAGGGTTAGGGTCAGGGTTAGGGTCAGGGTTAGGGTCAGGGTTAGGGTTAGGGTCAGGGTTAGGGTCAGGGTTAGGGTCAGGGTCAGGGTTAGGGTTAGGGTCAGGGTTAGGGTCAGGGTCAGGGTCAGGGTCAGGGTCAGGGTTAGGGTTAGGGTTAGGGTCAGGGTCAGGGTCAGGGTCAGGGTTAGGCCTGTGACCGTGCGAGTGAACGTGCGAGCGACGGTTACAGACGTGCGGCGCTCACCCTCTCACAGCGGTACTCTCCAAACTTGACTCCTCGCACCACCTGCTGGTAGATGAGGTTGGTGGCCACCTGGTCGTCGGCGGGGCAGTGCCAGGGCGTGAAGATCTCCTTCCTGAAGAAGAGCCTCCAGGGGGCGTTCCTCTCCTGCGCGCCCTGCTCTTTGGCGTACTGCTCGCACTGAGACACGGCGTCCATCACGTGATCGCTGCCGCTGCCCAGAGACGACACCTGCGGGACGGACGAGGGAGCGACACCTGAAGATCACGACACCAACGGTCCCGCAGTCCCACAGGCCCCGGGGTGTGAGGGTAACTGTAGGAACTGCTGTGTCTGAGGTTTTACTCAACACAGTTTCACCATAAAGAGCCACAACACAAGAGCTGATGTTTGCTGTGAAACACTCCCCTGACACATTTAAGTCTGAAATTAAACTTCTAAACATCTACACAACTTAGAACTGCTTTAAACCTGCTTTAGACCTGGTTTGGACTTTAGACCTGGTTTACACCTGGTTTACACCTGGTTCAGACCTAATTCAGACTTGGTTTAGACCTGATTTGGAATTTAGACCTGGTTTAGATCTGGTTTGATCTTCAGACCTGCTTTAGACCTGCTTTAGACCTGGTTTAGACCTGGTTTAGACCTAGTTTAGATCTGGTTTAGACCTTTTGGTTTAGACCTGGTTTAGACCTGATTTAGACCTTGGTTTAGACCTGGTTTAGACCTGGTTTAGACCTGGTTTAGACCTGGTTTAGACCTGGTTTAGACCTTGTTTAGACCAGGTTTAGACCTGGTTTAGACTTAACCCTGGTTTAGACCGTGTTTAGACCTGGTTTAGACCCCGTTTAGTTATGACTGGTTTAGACCTAGTTTAGATCTGGTTTAGATCTGGTTTAGTCCTAGTTTAGACCTGGTTTAGATCCTGGTTTAAGATCTGGTTTAGTCCTGGTTAAGACCTAGTTAAAACCTGGTTTAGACCTGGTTGAGATCAGATGTAGTCCCAGTAGTTTGGCTTTAGGCAAGACATGATTAGTTTCATAGTCAGTTATTGCCTGACAGTCCGGGTTTGGGTTTGGGTTCAGTTTCAGGTTCAGTTTCAGGTTCAGTTTCAGGGTTCGTGTTGATGTTGGTGTCGTGGTGTGTGGAGCGGCTCTGAGTCTCCGTGTTTCTCTGTTTCTCTGTTTCTCGGCGTCGGGGGGGGGCGCAGTACCTCACCTTGTCGAAGAGGGCGATGTAGAGGGAGAAGCCGAAGCGGTCGCTCAGGTCGATCTTGTCGGACAGGGCGTGGCAGAGCTCGCGGGCCGTGGTGGCGGAGTCGGCCAGCAGCGTCTTCGTGGTGCCGTCCATGAACGTCACCGGCAGCATGATGGGCTTCTTCGACTTCGTGGCCTGGAGGAACACGAGGGAAGAAGAAGAGAAACCGCTAGCTGTAGGCACTGCTCCGTCTGAAACTCGGTTCGACTTTAAAATAATCTGTGTTCTGCAAAAAAGCTCGACCGAAATATAAGATCTAAAACACTTTAATCTATCAGAAAATGATTCAAACGTAGAGAAATTATGTGTCTGTCCAAAAAGATTCAAGTTTCTGTTAAACATTTTTTTGCCTAAATTTAAAGATTTTCGGACGAGTTGAAATAAATGTGACGATTTTGAAAGATTCTGTAACCAATTCAGAAGGAGAAAGTCGATATAAAGAATCTGAAAACAAGATGAAAATCCTGATAGAAGAAAATTTGAAAATTTTGGCCAGATCAGAGAAATTTGCAGAGTCCACAGTAACTGCTGAACATTCCACCATAGAGATACATGTAAACCCCCCCAGAGTGAGGTCACTGCAAGTATCAACAGGTTTGTTGCTGGTTTGATCTTCAGACCTGGTTTAGACCTGCCTTTAGTCCTGGTTTACCTGGTTTAGTTTAGTCCTGGTTTAGTCCTGGGTTTTCCTGGTTTAGACCTGGTTTAGACCTGGTTTAGTCCTGGTTTAGAACCTGGTTTAGTCCTGGTTTAGTCCTGGTTTAGAGTCCTGGTTTAGTCCTGGTTTAGACCTAGTTTTAGTCCTGGTTTAGTTTAGACCTGGTTTAGTCCTGGTTTAGTCCTGGTTTAGACCTGGTTTACCTGGTTTAGTTCCTGGTTTAGTCCTGGTTTAGTAGACCTGGTTTAGTCCTGGTTTAGTCCTGGTTTTCCTGGTTTAGACCTGTCCTGTTTAGAGTCCTGGTTTACCTTTGGTTTAGTCCTGGTTTAGAGTCCTGGTTTAGTCCTGGTTTAGACCTGGTTTAGTCCTGGTTTAGTCCTGGTTTAGTCCTGGTTTAGTCCTGGTTTAGTCCTGGTTTAAGTCCTGGTTTAGTTTAGTCCTGGTTTACCTGGTTTAGTCCTGGTTTAGTCCTGGTTTAGGTCCTGGTTTAGTCCTGGTTTAGTCCTGGTTTAGTCCTGGTTTAGTCCTGGTTTAGGTTTAGTCCTGGTTTAGTCCTGGTTTAGACCTGGTTTAGAGTCCTGGTTTAGTCCTGGGGGACCTGGTTTAGTCCTGGTTTAGTCCTGGTTTAGTTTAGACCTGGTTTAGTCCTGGTTTAGACCTGGTTTAGACCTGGTTTAGACCTGGTTTAGACCTGGTTTAGAGTCCTG